TATTACTTTGTGATTCATTCTTGGTGTTCTCCGTGTGTGCAGTGGGGCCTAGTGACGATGAGGACCAGCAGGAGAAGACCTTGTCTCAGGTCTATGATCGCCTTCCTGAGGGACGCTCTCCTCTCGACATCCTAAAGAAGAAAGAAGAACGTGAGCGCATTGGTAAGGGTTACACAGAGGACAGCTAATGAAGACAGTAGAACACAGCAGAAAGTGTGGCTTTGACACCTGACCTGTCTCTCCCTTTTCATCTCTCTGTCCTCCTCATTCTCTTTGAATATGAATATATTCATATATTCCTCCCTCTCTGTAGGCAAAGCACACATCAGACGGGCCATCCTGGGTCACGAAGAGGCTCTGAGGATTTACAGCTTGTGCCACCATTTGACCAAGCTGGAGATCCTGGAGGGCATTTTAAAAGCCAGTCACCAGCGCTCGCTCAACAAGTTCAGCGAAAATGACAACGAGGAAGAGTTTACAGACTACACAGAGGCACCCGACATCATCTGTGAGTGTTGAGCTGCGGCAGAGGACGTACTGAAACATTTTACTTAAGTAAAAGTACAAATAAATAGAGAAATGTACTGGTTTAACTTTCCTACTTGCAGAGTGTTGCCTATTTTCTAATGAAAGGTCTACTCCATCATTATGGCTGAGTCTCATTGGTGACCTCTTCCTAATCCATTCCAGATGTTTTATTTACCAGTGATGCTGCTGCAGACGCACTTCAGGGCCCTGTCACACATATCCATATTTAGCAGTGGCAAACCATTGCCTTCCGTTCTCTGTGCAAGTGAGGGGGCGAAAATAGCATTTGCTTCCTGTGAAGAGGCAAATTGCAGCATGGCTTCACATTGAGATCAAAATTGACCTGACAGTGACATTTTACATGCGATTTTCGCTTTGCATTTGCTTATGTGTGACCCTTACTCTCAGTAAAGGAGGCACGGTCTAATGCCTGCTCTGATTGGATCAGTGGATCAATTCCCCTCTCGTTATTGATTACTGTTAAAAACAAAATGAATATGCAATGTTATGCAATGCATTGTAAATAATGTAATGGAGTATGTGTAGTGACACAAATGTGAAAATTACCTCAAAATAAATCTACTCAATAAAATACAGATACAAAAAAAGAAACATAATTACAATATGAAGTAGATGTACTCTGTTAAATCCCACCGCTGGTATTAAGGTATATTAAAGAGAGAGTAGCACCACAATCAATGAAAACATCCTGTTGAAGTAAACATGAGAAGTAAGGATAGCATCAGGATGATTGTTAACTTTATTAGAGTCTCCATAAGCGTCACTGAGGAGAAGGCTATTCTTTCTGGGGTCGACATAGAAACTGACCAGTCACCCTAGTGTCACCACAACAAACACATGACAAATGAAACTAATGTAGCGTTGTTTATGTGTGAGATCCGTCTCTCAGGAAACAGTTCATAAAAACCCTGCTGTATTGTGAACCACAGCTACACCTGCTGCAATGAGATGTGATAAGTGACATTTACTTCCAGGCACAGATGATGTAATGTTTACACTGTTAACTCCCTGCCCGCCTCTCTGCTGAGCAACTGTTTAAAATGTGGTTGTGACTGTAAACACTGTAGAATGACAGCTTTTCTCCCCCATTGTCTTTCCTTAGCTAAGACAGAGCACAAAGCAGAGATGGAGGTTCCGGCATCCACAAAGGTGAAAGTCACCGACTTTTTCCAGAGGCTGGTATGTGGGTTACTAATCTTCTTCCACTCACAATGCTGTTGTTTTTTTGTATACATTGGTTGGTTTATTCAGTAAATGATGTGAAATCAAAGTTTTCACACACCCAGAGTCAATTTTTTGTTATTTCTGAGTGCAACCAACCTTGGGTGATACTCGAGGAAGCTTTGACATGTTTGGTCCTCTTTAATTCCTAAAGCCTCCTGGACTTCCACCCAAAGCAACAAATGCAAAACTAACACTAACCATGGATACTGGCTTGAACTCTATTTGGGTTATTGTTATTTCATTTGAAAATAAAATTCCATCACGCATTCCTTCCTGCTTATTTGAATTTATGTTAAGATTGTTTCTTGGATATCTCCAAAGGTTATTCCCCTGAGAGTATCTCCTAAACCTCTCATGTTCCCTACCGAGCTAAAGCTTGGAGTTTGATCTCTTTTGTAATGGCTCATACTTAAATGTTTGTTTGGGTTAAATGTTTGTTTGGGGTCATATTATTATTATACTGGACACATTTTGTGGTGGTGGCCGGGAGGTGACCCTGGCATATTCTGTCAATGGAAGTGGAATCTTCTGTCTGCCTTCTGTCTGCATCCTCTTGAAAAGACATTCAATTGCAAGTATGCAAGTTTAGTTTACAATTACTTTAACATAAAAATGTGCTTCAATCTTGAGACAAACAGGTTTCTAAGCAGGTAACTGTTATTGAGGTTAAGGACTAGAGCTTGTTCCCAGGCAGCAGGTGTAAGAATCTCTGAATAACTCCCCCTCTGGTACCTTGCTCTTCATTAACAGTCTCAGCAGCAAGACAGTAATCCCTCGGGATCTGCAGAGCAATGTGAGACTGAACAGATAAATCCGGCACTATCTCTCCATACAACTGTTATGGTGTTCATTGAAGTGGTAGGAGAGGCAATGCTGTTTGACAGGCTTTACTGGAGCAGAGATTTTCCCAGCAGATAAGTGCATTAATGCAAGGCAACAGTTGGCTTCAGCAGTCTAAATGGGAAAGTAGGTTATGTTTGTGATCAGTTCTGTTTAGTGGAGAAATTATTAGTCAGTATTATACTTTGCGTTATAGCACAGAGACAACACTACCTTCTAATTGAATCTGTCAAAAGACCTGTCTCTAGAATGATAACAGTAATACTATCGTCATTTATATAGCACT